AGGGCTCTGACCACGCGTGCAGAGCTCTGACCAGACATGTGGCGCTCTGACCACGCGTGCAGAGCTCTGACCACATGTTGCCAGCGTCGACCACACATCGGTGCCGTGTACACCCGTCTGGAGGGGCAGGCTGTTGAGAAACGCCATCCTTTGCGCCCTGAGTGCTGCATCTGCTGTTTATTTCTGCTTTTGGGATCTGGGGAGAATCTCTTCGCTCCAGGGTCATCCCTTTGATTTTGCCAGGGTGCAGCATGGCGTTAAACAATATCCTTTAATTAACGACATCCATGTGAGTTCCCGTTCCCAGCCCGGTGAGGAAATTCAGCGTTGCCTTTACAGAACTGGCAGCCTGAGGAAGTGCAGATAGAGGAAGGGGAAGGTTGTCCTCACACCGGAGGCTGCTCTGTGCTGTGGGTACCTGCAGTTCCCTCTCGGCAGAGTGAAAGAGAACTTGAGGGAGCTAGTTATATTTTAAATGGGATTGAAATGGGGAGAGAGGGGGGCTGCAGCATCCCTATAGGCAGGGAGGCTTTTTGAGGCTGGGCCATGCTTGCGAGGCAGCTGTGGGGCTTGGAGAAGGGCTGGAAGGAGAGGGAAATGAAGATTCCTGCAAGAAGAGTTGAAGTCTTGAGTTGGGAGTGTGGGAATGGAGATGGGGATATGGAGATGGTGAGATGGAGAAGGTGATACGGAGAGCTGGTGCTTGCTGACCAGATGGAATCACAGAATGTTAGGGGTTGGAAGGGACCTTGAAAGATAGGAACTGAGAGGAGGGGGCATTTTCCACATGATGGAAGCGGTCGGGTTGTGGCCACTTGGCATTTCCATCGCTTCCTCCTTTTACATCCCTTTTTCCATTCCGATTGCCCCAGGGGCCCCCAGCCTCTGCCCTCCCCAGTGAGCCAAAACCAGAAGCTGGTGACTTGACGAGATGGTTCATCGTTAAAAATAACCCCGTTGGTCTGTCTCTGGCAGCGTTGAACTGGGGACGGCTGTTCCCTGCAACCGGAGATCCGTACCCGACGAGGTGGGGGCAGCCGTGCCTGAGCCTGTCCAGCCCTGCCCGTCCTTTGCAACCCCAAATTAATTCCCTTTTTTCCTTCCCTAGTTGCCGAAGCAGCAATAGGAAGAGTTTAGTGGTGGGGACCCCCTCTCCGACCCTCTCACGGCCTCTCTCCCCGCTCTCCGTGCCGACAGGTAAGGGATGTCCGAGGGGATGGGTTGAGCATCTCCCCAAATTACCCCCGTATTTTGGAAGGTAAACCCATCTGCTTCTGTGGCACCAGTGCTCTTGCCCACCAGTGCCTTTTCCAGGAGGGAGCAGCTTGGGATGCGATTTAACGAAGCGATTTAACCTCTTTCTCTCCACAGCTGGGAGCAGCCCCTTGGACAGCCCACGCAACTTCTCCGCCAGCACCTCCATCAACTTCCCCTTCGCTCGCAGGTGAGCTCCTGGCAACCTTCCTCCTCCTCCAGGCCATTAAGATTCACTATGAATTATAATTCACTGGCCTGTTGATCTCAAATGATTTGTTTTGATTTTTTTTTTATGTGCTTTTTTTTTTTCCCCTCCGTGATTTTGGGTCTGGTGGCGTTTGCTCTGCTGGGACTTCTCCCTCCCACCACCCCAGCCATGCTCCTCGGACTGACAGGCGAGTACTGAGGTCGGGCTGAGGCTGCGTTTCAGGGAAGTGTCTGCTCTGCATCATCACAGCCCTTTTGCATCCCCGGGCGGGAGATTTTTCCTTGGGACCCATCTCTCTGCAGCTCTGGGAGCAGAAATATCCCATCGCACCATCCCCAGCCACAAGCTCAGCCCCGGTTTGGACCCGCTCCCCGACGGATGCTCGGCATCCCAGGACGGATGCTCAGCTGGGTCCCCACGCTGCTCCAGATGCCAAAATCCTGTTTAACTAATTAATTAATTGCACACATGGGGGTGGGTGGTTGATTTTAACCCATCGATTGTTGCATGGAAAAAAGCTGGAGGCTTCTTTTGGTACTTGTAACAAGAGAGAAAAGACAAACCCCGGGGTTTACGAGCCCGCCAGTGGTGATGCCAGCGCCGGATCCGGTGCTCTGCCAGCTCCCACCGTCCTTGACCTCGCATGGGAAACGGCGGCGGGAGGTTGAAGGGCCTCGTCTTGACACGGACGTTGCCCTGTTCATTAGAAAAGTCTCCGAGAGGAAACATTCACTTACGTACGAGCGGTCGCCTTCCTGTTTATAACCCGGCTCCGCTCTGCGGTGGCCGTTGTCTCAGGATGCATCATAGGAATCCTGATTTCCCCAGGAACAAAGACTCAGGGGGCTGAGTTTTGCTCTGATTTAAATGCAGATTCTCACATTTTTGGTTTTTTCACTGTGTGAAACAAATTTGCCGCCTGACCAAGCCCCTTTGGGGCTGTCACTGTCCCCATGCACGCTGAGGTTGCAGAACAACCCCCCCTTCAACTGCAAACCCCTCTTGTTTCACCCAGTTTCAGTCCTTTCTGAAAGGAGGTTTCAAGGCTTTAATTATTCAAGCCAAACCTGCGTCCTCTTCCCCACCCTTATCCCGTTGATGTTATTTATTCGCATTTAGGTATTTTGGGGGGGTCGTATGGTTTGGTTTTTTTCCTGTATGTAATTGGGCGTGTTTGCGCTCTCAGGGCTGATGGCAGAAGGTGGTCACTGGCTTCGCTACCCTCCTCTGGCTATGGGACCAACACCCCCAGCTCCACTGTCTCGGTAATGTTTGTGAGAAGAACCCAAACCCCTTGATTTTGGGTGAAATGTCTCCCTAGCCCCACGACACCGATTCGAGTTGTTAGAGCAGCTCTTTTAGCCACAGCATCTTGGGTGGCTTCTGCGCAGAAGCCACCCAAGATGCCACAGCTACAAGAGATGGGACTCAACAGAGTTGGGTTGAGTGGGAGAGGAGGGAGGGTGCTGCCCACCAATGGTTCCAACCTTCTAAGATGCCCCGAGGAGCATTTTCCTCGTGGGCTTGCTGGTTTCCATCGGGGAGCACGGCTCCATCTCCTGATTCCCTGCGTTGGTGCTTCTTTCCAGTCGTCTTCATCCTCCCAGGAGCGCCTACACCAGCTGCCGTACCAGCCCACCCCCGACGAGCTCCATTTCCTTTCTAAGCATTTCCGCAGTACGGAGAGCGTCACGGACGAGGAGGGTCGGCACTCGCCCTGCCTGCGCCCACGATCCCGGAGCCTCAGGTACGGCAGGATTGAGCCTGTGCCCTCGCCCGAGCTGTTCCTGGGACGTCCAGGTCCTACCGAGCCTGTCCCAAGGTGTTGACCCCCTTGTTAGGGAGCGGAGAAGCCGTGGCTTGAGGTAGTAGATACTCCATCCCTGGAAATATTCAAGGTCAGGGTGGACGGGGCTCTGGGCAACGTGATCTGGTTGAAGATGTCCTTGCTTGTTGCAAGGGCTTGGACAAGATGACCTTTAAAGGTCCCTTCCAACTCAAACCATTCCCCAATGGTGAAACTGGTGAACCTTCCCTGGGAAGAATGGTGAACCTTCCCTGGGGAAGCTGGGGAAGGGCCTGGGGAATAAATCTTATGAAGGAGATGGGGCTGTTTAGTTTGGAGAAGAGGAGGCTGAGGGGAAACTTCTTTGCTCTCTACAACTACCCGAAAAGACGTTGTAGAGAGGTTGATGCTGGTCTCTTCTCACGTTTTATTAGCGATAGAACAAAAGGGAATTGATTTAAACTGCAACAGGGGAGGTTTAGACTGGGCATTAGGAAAAAAAATTTCACAGAAAAAGTAGTCAACCACTGGCACA